ATATTGTATAATTGGCATAGTTCTTGAAAAGGGCGCAGTGAGGTATTGTGTGTTTTATATAACTAGCTAATCCTCAAAGGCTGGACTAAGGAGTACTCCATATCTACCAAAGGAGACATTCCCTGTGTGGCAAACATGATTGCACATTGAACAATAATCAGGGCTTTGTGATAAGTGTGTAAACACAGTAACCCCAAATTGCAAGATAAATACATGGTGCTTCTATTGACTCTTCTGGGCTTCCGAAAATCTACATAACTGTTCAGATATAAAATCTACATAACTGTTCAGATATATAAAGTCGTTTCTCCAATCATGTAAATATAACCTCTAGGGCGTCTGATCTCCCTGGTCCGCAGGCACATTGCAGGGCTGGCACTTGGACAATGCCAGCCCTGCATTAGCCGGCAGGGGAGAATCTCGGGGGAGGCAATTGCCCCGTTGCCCCCCCCCCCCGGATCCACCCCCCTATGGTGGTTTTGGCCAAAACTAGCCGGATATTGGAAGAGGATCCATGATCTGATTATTAAAATAAACAAAGACATAAGTATATTGACATCAGAATTAGCATTATTTAAGAAATTCCCGGAGTCTGCTTCAAAAATTGACAAAATAATAATAAGCCACATTTTAATTGCAGCTACCACATGCCTACCTCGATATTGGAAGTCTAAGAAATTACCTACGTGTAAAGAAGTATTAACCATGGTTCTGGACAGTAAAGCAAACGAACTGTCTTACAGAAAGAATACAAATTTATTTGCAAAACTTCAACATATTTGGGACAAATGGGAAGAGGACATTAAAAAAAACTACCGTATATAAAATCTGAGTTTTGTCAAGTTCAGAAATACATGACTAATGTTTTGTATATTATTTCTTATGTTTACAATTTGTATGGACTCCCCTACCCATTTCCAAGTTTCCCTTCCCTTCCCCCTCGTCGAACAGTATGTTTGACTATTCACTATTATTTGTTTGAAATAAATTATAACTTCAATAAAAACTATTTGAAAGAATAAAGCAGGGTGTGCAGTCCTTTTTGTATCTAATGATAGATACTATTGTAGCAGAGTAACAGTGAATCTATGACAATTGTCAATAAGCAAATAGGTATGCTATTATTTAGACACTATAACACATAAGACAGAGTCAAGGCTGAGAAAGAGGG